CCACTACTGAAGTTGCGTTGCCGGATTCAAGAGAACCCTGGAGCGACACATTGTCGGCGTCTGACAGTAGTAGTGTTTCTCACCATGCTGATTGTGATTGCCTGATCATTCTCCTTCTCTGCACGGCATCCACTCATAAACTCATCCAATACTTCTCTTTCCTCAATAGCCACTGGTAATCCCAGATTCCTCTTTTATAACCCAGGCGTGAATACTAAAAGGATATTTCTTAACCTCACTAGCCACCGACCCGCACCCATCACTGGATAATTGTTGGACATAGCACTGTGCCCACTGAAAATGCTAGTCTAGTCACACACTTCCAAGAGTATTCGTACGCACCTGCCACACCATCACCCCATTGTTGGACGCCATCCCGCGCTGAATTGCTTGGCGCTCAAGCTTTAATGCGAGAAGACCCACAGACTCCAGCAAAAAAACCACACAAGCATCCGGCCGTCTCAGCCGTCGTTCCCGTTTTCCTTCTAGAAGTGGGGCTCTTGCCTTCTGTGGGTTTCCCTTCTGCTTTTTTACCACAGGTCCTCACATTTGGTGGTTCGCCTATCGTTCTTTGTAGTGTTTGGTCGAACGAATAACCTCCGCTCTACGCCATCCTGCTAGTGCCCCCGTCGGCAGTCCCTTTCCAGTGGGACCTATAGTCCACATCTACTTGTTGGGTGAGGATGGTACTCCTACCACCATTACATTCATAGTTGCACTGCCAATGGGTTTATCAATGAGGAGAACTGTTAAGGGCCACCTCCTACATATATACAATTTAAGTGGTCCAAGATACTTACATATATTATTTTACACCAGTATATACCCATATACCAGATGCAGATCAAATGATAACATAGGTGAGGCACACTTTCTCCTTCGTTGTATGAATCTTCTCCGAATATGCACCCTGTATCAATATGAATAACAAGGAAACTGAAATTAAATAATAATGGTATATGCAGATGTATACAAAAGAATGTACATAGGGGTGGAGATAAATTCACAATATATAAGTAAAATTGTGTGTGTGTGCTTAAAACATAAACTTTGGTTGTGGAAGTTTATATTTATTAGTACTCGTTTTAGGAGTTCAAGTCTTGTGATGTGGTTGTTAGTTGGTCATTTGGAGCCGTCAAGACTTAAGTAGTACTCAATAGTGATATGTCGTGATACTGATGTAGTAGAAGTCGTTGTGTTGCTGCAGCTACTTGTCTGAAAGTTCTGAAGTCGTTGTGTACCTGAAATAGTACTTGTCTCAGAGTCAAAGTCGTTGTGGTAGCTGAAGTAACACGTCTTTGGTACAGGAGTCAAAGAAATAGTAACTGTCTGGGGAGGTGAGGTCGTTTTGATAGCCGATGCAGCACCTGACTGTGGCAGTGAAGGCATGGCTTTGGCCGAAGTAACACTTGAGGTGGTTGTGTTAGCTGTAATAATGCTTGTTTGAATAATGTTTTGATGAGCAGAAATCGTTGTGATACCTGTGATTGTACTTGCCGGACTGAAGTTATTGAAGCTGAAATAATAACTGTTGCTGGAACTGTTGTTGCAGTGTAGTTGAATCAGGACCTGTTAGTGAGACTGAAGTCGTCCTGGTAGCTGAAGTAGGTGCTATTGTAGCATTGTAGCTGATGTGACAATAACTGAAATGGCACTTTGGGGGGCTGGAGTATTAGAATAATGTAGCTGTTGAGTGGTAGACTAATTGTCTCTCCAATTCTTAATCAAGGAATTAAAATAATGAAGAAATGGACCTTAATCTCTAAATGAAAAAATACCCTATGATCTCTTATGAAGAAAAGAACTTAAACAAAAGATATGATATCAAGAAATTAATCTTAATCCCTGATAATCCGAGAGCAGTGGCAGTTGATGTAAAACCGGAAGTGGAGCATCAATGGTATAGCTATTAGTAGTCTTACAATATTGGTAGGCCAAGTATCTCAACATTTAATACCATTTACATAGTATTAAATGAGGAGAGCACAGTGTAGATAAAGAGTAGTGTCTAGCTGCAAAAAGCTACCCACAAAATCCAAATCCTAACTTATATGGGAAAAATACCGTACATCACATATCACAAACGAACCTGTAATTGGTGTTGATAATCGAATTGCAGTACTTGGTGGGGCCGAAGTCGTTATAGCTGAAAAGAAAAGTAGTTGGTGGAAAAGAAGTCGTGGTGGTTGCTAAAGTAAGTTATTAATGAGGCTTGAGAAGTGTTTACAGTAGTTCATATAAAATGTATTAGAAATTAGAAATTACACGATCGGTAGGCTAAATATCTCCACACACAGTGTACCTGTAGGGAAATAAAGCTACTTGTTGATGCAAGGAAACCAACCCTGGATTAGATTAAGGGTCCTGGGAACTACCATACCTTTAGAGGACTTATCCCACTCTCCTCCCATGATTCATTGGAAAGGAACCCTGCAGTGTGTGTGCAGTGTAGTGGGGGGAGGGATGGTGCAGTTATTGTGACTCTACACCAGCTGAGATA